TGTTTCCACCGCCGGTCCTCATATAAGCCACTCCGCAGCAACCTGGATTCTGTTGCACAGCTAAAAACACTTTTAAACTTTTCTCTTTCTCAAATAAATATGTCAATGACTAGTCGATCAAAACATACATTCTTTGTAAAACTTATAAAGTGTCTATCATGTGTCTAGTTGATATTAAGAACGACCCATGTCATCATTCATGGTTTTAACAGCAGTTATCTAAACTGTTTTCACCTTGACCTACTTAGATTGTTGTAAGAAAATCTTTGCATTGAAACTTTAGACAATCACAGTTTATCTAAATAAACGGCATCCACACTTTTTACAGCATGACCTAAAATTCCCAAGTTAAATCGTTGTTTTTAATTTGTGTGTTTTGCAGTAAACTAAACATTCTAAAAGATATTTATTTTCAACAACCATGCACACACACTCACGTGCAATTTAGAGAGAGCAATGAACCTTTTAGTCATGTTTTTGGACTGGGAGAGGAAGCTGCAGTTCCCTGAAACAAACTACCAACCAAGAAATGCACAGAGATATGCATTACAGATCCAAAAATCAAAAATTAATCTTCCATGTTTGCCTTATTGAAACACATAGTTTATGTATTTTTTTTACTGTCAAGAATTTTACATTTAGTCTTTCTGCAGCGAGAAGACAGGATGAGTCACTCTTTCTTAGAAAATACATGCAGTATTTTGCAAACGTTAATGAATGATTGATCCAAAGTCTGTTTCTGAGTGAAATATGAAATTACAATGAGGACAAAAAAACATGGCTAAATTTATTGACTCTATTTTGCCTTGCCTCTAACATTCTATTATAAAATTGGAAATCTTCAAAAACCTACATCAACCGTTTGTGCTAAAATATTGTCTGCAGCCAAACAGAATCATTCCAAGTATTAATTGGCCCCTACATCACACTTTAGTCAAATCTCGGCTAAATAGTTTTCTCTTGACAGCATTTCAAGGAGGTTAAGGTCAGAACTTTGACTGGTTGAAAGAAAATTGTGGATTTTTTTCTTTTTTCCCAATTTTTTGTAGATCTCCCATTGAGCTTTGTGATCATTATCCTTTTGGCTGACCTAATTTCTGCTGAGCCTCCGCCGTCAGACCGACGGCTTCACGGTTGACTCTGAATATTTTTTTGGAAAACTCAATTACTGGAGTGGCTGCATGAACACAAAATAATATCTTGTAAATTATATTACAAGACTACACTCATAATATTTTTGATTTTATTCTCACATCATTTTGACTTTATTCTCATAATATCATGATGTCATTTTATTTTTTCATTTTCTTACTGTGGCCCTAATACTCCTTCATAGTAATCACTTATTATACTGTAAAAATTGCATTACCTCAACGCAATTGAAGTATTGCAACTTGTCCTCCATGGTGATCTATACCTACCGTGGAGGACAATGCTCTCTGGTTTCTTTGCACTGATTGACAGCAGCCTTTATTTGGGGTCTTAGTTTTAGTTTATGCAAACACAGACACAAACCTGCATCATGCTTAAATTCCCAATCTATCCTGGGTCCAACCACACCGAGCAACAAATCCATAAAAGCATGCAAAGTGTCTGAGCCTCTCTCTGCTGGGATTCATAAATTGAAGCCTTGCAGAAGTGTTGAGGCCTATTCGCCGGCTGCTCCTGGAGTGTGTTTGTGTGAGCTGCTCTCAGCGGTGAATACAGGACTCATTAGAATGGCTGTCATGTCACAGCAGAGCCTGCAGCATTTCATCTAAATCACAGCTGAGTGACCAGTCATGTTTCTGCTCTGGGAAAACCACTCAGGATGAAAAAGCAGAAAAAAAACAACCCACCTCACTGTGCTTCCCATCTATTTTTTTGCCAGTCAAAAATAGATGGGAAATGTTGTAAAGATGGGGAACATTGGAAGTAATTTAAACTTACAATGCCTGAAAAACGTTTTTACAGATTTCTTCCTTTTGCTTTTGTTTCAGCCAAAAGTAACCTGATAAATGCGAAAATCAGTTTTCAAAAACCTCCTGCTTTTGTCAGTCCACAAAAATATCTTGCAAAGGTTTTGCAGTTGGTAAAAGTGAGATGGAAACATCTGTCCAGATGAAATGGTAACAACCGGTTTAAAGGAGGTTCTTTTAGAAAGCCAAACAATGCATTGAAAGTAATATTTTGCTAATTTCTTTTATAAACAAAACCAAGCTTTAGAATTTGTGTCTTAAAATATATTGGTTAAAATGCAATGAAACTGCCCTGCAGCAGTTATTCCCACTTAATAAATATCCTCAGCTTTGCTCATTTCTAGTGCATCAATATTTATTATTTCTTAAGACTTTTATCTCTACCAGGAGCATCAATCATAGCTAAGGAAGAAATTAAGTTTAATTTACTGTCCTAATGCTATAATTCTCTGTCTAGCTCTGATTTAGCCTCCAAAATCGCTTTAGAAAGTGTTTAAAATGCTAATTACTTCACTATATTAGTTTGTCTCGCTGTAAAAGCTTGAACTCTGGGTGAATACAGATGAAAACGAGGTTGAAGATTATTTCCAGTGCAGAAAATCAAACAGCAAATCATAAAGGGATAGAACTGGGATTAAGACAGCAGACCTAATTTCCCTGAAATAAACCATAGTTCGCTGCCAGAAGCCATATGACGGGTTTGTCCTTTGCAGCAGCATCACGTTGCACGTGTTTTGCATGGTCACAATGCAAATATAAGTGTTGCTAGAAGCGTGTGCTGTGTGTTTCCTCTGAAGCCTCCCACTTCTTGGAAGGGGAGGGACAGATTTTTGTGACAGGTGTTTCCTGAGAGCCACAGCATCATTCTGACAGCAGTGATATCCTGCTAATATTTATATCTCTCCTGGCCTTGACCTTTTTGTGTTGTGTGCACATCAACAGTGTAAACCATTACTACAGTGACAAAGAGGCACAGACCTTATTCAGTTATTACAAACCTCTTGGATTTCAGTTTAGTCTGCATACTTTAAATAAACCAAGATAAACAAGTAGTATATCATTATAATTTGGGGACTGTGATGTTAAGCAGCCCTTAGTCTGATCTTTGGAAACAGACCAGTGTTTTGGCTCATCTTAGAGCCTTCGTCTCAGTTTTTTTGTGAGCTGTTGAGGGATGGAAATTTACTCCAGGCTGCTGTCATTATTGTTCAGGAGTCAGGAAGCAGTTTTTACGAACCGTCCGCTGACAGCTGAGCACGGCGTGGCTTCACTGTGGTCACAGATCTGTTTGAAACTGTTTGCACTGGTGCATCAGTGTAAATGTGAACTCTGGAAGGAGATGTCAGAGTGAAGAAAGAACCTTAAAATATATTTCCAGTGAAGAGTTACCGTATCCACATCAAAGAAATGTCAGATGAGTGAGTTAACTTGTTGGGTTGCGTCACAGTAAAGATATGAAAGTTTGTTTCTGGCCAAATAAAAGTCAGTTTAAAATTAGTTGCAAAATTATTCATACACTATGAGATTTTTCCATTGCTTGTCAGGTTACAACCACAAGAGTGTATTTTATGTAATAAATTTACACCAGGTAATGCAGAATTGTGAAACGGGTGCAACATTTTTCCTCCACATTTTAACAAATGAAAATCTTGAAAATATGTTTTGGCCCTTATACTCTGCAAAATAGCTCAACTTCAGTCAGACTGGACATAAAGCATCAGTAAACATCTATTTTTAGTTCTGACCTCAGGATCTCTTGGATTTAAGTCTGGACTTTGACTGGTCCATGACTATTATTTGATTATTATTGTAGCTGTGGCTGTATCTTAAAGGAGACTGGTCTGCTGGAAGGTAAACCTTTAGCCTGTGTCCCAGTCTTTTAGATGGTAACCTTGTATTTAACTTTAAAAACTGACTGCAAATAAATCCATATTGTATTTGCTAAACTTCAGAGGAACTTTATTTCCTCCAAATTTTACATGTTTGTACAGTTTGTATGTTCTGAATGCTAAGTCATATTCCTTGTTGAGCATAAAACCTCTCAGCACATCTGGATTTTTACTGAGATTAAATTACACACAAGTGGAAAATAATTACTTATTTTGTTATATCTAAAGGTGATTTTATTTTAGGGTATCATAGTAAAGGAGGGGGGTGAAAACAGATTTGTATCATTTTCACTCAATTTCACAAAAGTACTTTGCTTTTGTCTAGCAAATAAATGAAATACATTTAGGAACGTTTTCCCAAATGTGAAAACGTTGAAGGGGTGTGGATACTTTTGCAAGGTTCTGTACAAATGAACTGAATGTATGATTTTGTAATAATTAGTAAAAATACAAACCATCAAATCTTTCTCCAAACCTCAAAATTTAATTTATTATTCAGATTTTTTATACAAATTTCCTGGAGGCTCTGGGCATAAAACAGCCCTGACAAATCACAGCAGTTGGTCTCTTTGATCGAGCTGAATCTGTTTGTGTTTGTGTGTTTTTGTGTGTGTGTACTTGTTTTTGTTGCCTGTTTAGGACATTTTCTGGGATATTTACCAACCTTTTGAAGACCAATCGGTCTTATGGGAACAAAAGAATGTGGTCGTGATGTGGCAGATACCCATTTCTAGGGTCAGGGGTTAGAGTTAGAGGAATGGTGATGTTAAGGTCAGACTTAGGCAGTGAAATGAATGGATGTCAATACAAAGTCCTCACATGGGTAGTATTAAAATGTGTGTGTGTGTGCGCGCAACAGTTCAAACAGTGCAGACAATTTACAGCCTGTGGTCTTGGCAGGCCAGGATTATTTCTGTCAGTGTCGTGTTGCGAAGCAAAGCAGCGTGACATTTAAATCTGTCCTGATGAGAAGGATGGTTTTATTTGTGTTTATGTGTCTCTTTGTCTCAGTATGCTGGGGTTGTTTTTTTACAAGGTTTTGAAAAAAAATGTTCCAAATGTCAGTGATCTTTACACATGTTGACTTTGAAATGGTGACTGTCTCCTTCTCTCTCCCCCTCCCCTCTGCTCTCTGTCTCTTTTTGTCTTCCAGATAAGTTGTTTGGGAAGCGTCTGCTGCAGGCTGGGAGACACATCCTGTCTCATAAGTCTTGGATGAAAACGGTGCCCACGGAGAACTGTGATGTCCTCATGACATTTGCAGGTCAGACGCTTAAAGACGCCCACACAGATGTCACAACGTCTAAAGTTTGGGGTTTTAAAAAAGGCAACAATAAAAACATTTATCTGCTTTAGAAGAAAACCGATCAGGTTTTCCCCAAAGAGTGACCTGCTGATTTTGAACTCTATCATTTTTAAATTCAGCTGCTAAATGTAATAGCTGACTAAAGAAAATAGTTCAGCATTTCTGAAAATAATGGATTGCTTCACTAAACTTTATCTGACATTTTCTAAACTCAAAATAAACGTATCAGGGTAAACAAAGGAAAGTATAAGGAAAAAATAAACTAATAATCAATATTCTCATCACATTTTCAGGAACTTTATCACAATGAAATATTTTCCTGTTCCTTTTTCTGCCTCCATCTTTCTCTGTGTAAACCTAACTTGCTGTTTTTTAATCAACTTTAAGAAGTTAAAAATGATAATATAACTGTAATTTACCTTCAATTTAAGACATTTATATTTAGTCATATTGCTGAGATGAGATTAATAGTCAGGGGTTTACAGGAACAAATTTGCTTCCCAGTAAAAGCTTTTTAATTAATTTTATGTTCATGATCAAACAATAACTACTGCCTGATTAAATGCAAATAAAATAAGGTTTTATATATATATATATATATATATATATATATATATATATATATATATATATATATATATATGCATACAAACAGACAAAGGGATAAGCAGACAAAGGGATACATGTTAACTGTGGATGAATAATGTTGATCTTGCTTGTTTATGCAGGAAAAATTAATTTGTGTTTCTTTTTTTTGCACAGACACTATAGATGACCACACGTTGCTATGGCTACTGAACCACATCCGGCTAGGAATCCCAGAGCTCATCATCCAAATCCGGCATCATAAGCACACCAGAGTCTACGCATTCTTCATCACCGCTACGTATGAAAAGTAAGAAACCTGACAGGAACAGAGCTTTGGCGGTCTTAGTATGAAACAGTATTTTTTTTAAAGCACTTATAGTAATTTTTATTTTTTGAATTATTAGCCAATGATGTTATAAATGTTATTTGGCTAAAAACATGTTAGAGGTGTTTGATTTGTCTGCAAGAAATACATTTTATTGGTTCTTTACATCTGATATTGTATATCCTTGATTGTACCATGCACAAATGGCTTATACATATGACGTCTGTCTGCAGAAGCTCTAGATTCAAGTATTGTAGACGATTCCTGATGATTTAGGGATGCTAAAATGTAAAACTATCTTTGCTGCTCTGTGTGGGTGGGAAATGGAAACTTTTTTTAATGGCTTCACATTGAGCTGATGCTACAGTTGGCACAGCAGCATTTAGAGGTCATGAATCATTAGTGAAACTGCCAAGATGTTTGGTGCATTCAGCTGCTTCTGGCTGCAGCTTTAATTCAAGTCCTGTAAAGTGTTTTGATCTGTATTTACACTGACTGTGCTTTATACTGCAGAGTCTCGTTCCTGTTTCCAGGAAAGTTGTAGAAGAATTCAGAGTCACTTTCATTCTAGACTTAATTTGTTTAGATGGCAGCTCTTTGAGGCCTCTCCTCTCTTGATAGCTCAGGGTGTGAATTTAAATCTAACGTAAGAGTGGAAAACTGCCTTGGTTGAGGATTATGCTGACATATGCTTTGAGTGGGTTAAACTGTGGCAGGAAATGCAACTTCTGATTGGTTCAGTGTTTGCACTTCATCAGGATGAAAACCCTGGTTTTAGCGGTCAACAGAGATTTGCAGCAAAAATAAGCTACTAGTTTACTAGCCAGCCTTGCTTTTAAATTTAACTAATGCACTCTTCAAGAAATTGGGTCAGGAGGTCAAACATCCCGCAAAGGTCATTTTACTTTTCAAATAGCAACACTTAGGAACATCCAAAGATACAAATACATGGATGGATGGATGGACGGATGGATGGTTTTATAGACAGATAGATGGATGGTACAGTATAGAGGTATGAATAATGTTGAACTTATCAGGATTTAAATTGTTGCTAATGTTGCTCTTCAGAGTTTTTATCCTTTTACGTTTTACAAAATAATCCTTTAATTTAAAACATTAACTTTAATTTAAAACACGTCTTTTTCCTCCTGCTCTGTGACTTTGTACGACAGAAAAATCCTGTTACTCTTCCCTGACACAGCATTTATTACCCATTCCTCTGTTCTGACGGTGCATTTTACAGCAAGCTGCCCAGTTCTGCTGAGATTTATTACTACATATTTTATGTCTGATAGGCATTTGTTAAATTAGCATACGCTTTAGCAGTAACGGCCTTCCTCAGCAGAGTTCTGCTCCTTTACAAGGTTACCTTTGTGCACAATTTGCCTTTAACTCAATCCAGGTCTATCTGCACCAGAGGACAGAGGGTAAAACGTCTAGATGAAATGATAAGAGAGCATCTAATTTAAGCTTTAAGTTCTGAATGAAACTTAAAGTGTACTAAACATTTAGTTTAAGTAGATAGAGCCTTTTTATTGCGATAGATAAGCTCAGTTCACAGCATTCTGCAGTGATACAGCAGCTTGCACCTTACATTTTCATTGCCATCCATCATGGTGCTGACTGTACTTTATTGTACCGCCCCTGCAACTACATGCAGTTGCATGATAGATGGATCTTACAAGCCCACCTAAGCTGTACTCCCACTTGCTTGCATAAAGAATATATATAATGTATAAATATACAGAGGAGAGCAATGGAAGCTGAAAACCTCCAGGGGAAAGGAAGGAGAGTCATGATTTATTAGCAGTGCAATTTCATCTTAACGCCTTTAGCAAGGACATAAAGAAGGGATGCAAGAAGTATGGAAGGTAAACAAGAGGTTAAGACTCTGATAGAAGTTTGAAAACTCGACTGAGAGGAAAGCAGATAGAAAATGTGCATGAATAGAAAAAATGAGGAGCTGGGGTTTAGATCAAGGGGCTTAGAGAAAGAAGTAATCTCTGTTGGTTTTACATTGTCCCTATTGTCACTGTTTCCACTTGACTTATTGAAAGGATTTAATTATATAACTAAAATTTACATATAAATCTGAATAAATACAGGAATGTGCAAAACCTTTACTCATGTTTGATGACAACAGAATTCAGCTATCTCAATTATTTTGCTCTGACTGTCCCACTAGAGAGAAACTACAACACCACAACATGCACAATCTGCCAGAACAAGGATAATCTCTACCTTGTCTAAAAATCTTCCAGGCTGAATAAAGAATGCAGTTTTCTGTCATTTTTTAATCTCTGTTTAATTGTGGTGAGATTGTGGTGGCTTGTTAGCAGAGAGTCTGCATATCTGGTCCTTACCAAGTAGTTTTGGTCTAATTTCTAGTGCAAGCATATTAGTACTCTTGAAATAAGACAGAACAAGCTTACAAATAACTTTTCAAAGAGCTATACGTGCTTGTTTTAAGTTGGTAATTCCTTAATATCAATTTTAAAAAGTGCTAATTTTACTGGCAGATAGTTTCACTTATAACATGGGAAAAATGTCTTGTTATAAGTGAAACCATCTGACATTTTCATCAATATTATGGATTAAATTACTTAAAACAAGCTACCTGAAAGCAACACAATTTTACCTCAGAACCTTTGCAAATATTCGGAACATCTGGGAAACTCTCAATCTCTGTGATGTTTGGTTCAGGATAGGGGTGGGCATTAATTTATCATTTACTATGAAACGTTTCTAGTCAGGATAAGAATTTTGATTTATTGTCATGATACATTTCAAAGTAAAAAAAAAACTGACTAAAATGTTATTTTTACTATTTCCCCCCCATTCTTTTCCATGAGAGGGTAAAAACAAATCAACAAATTCAAAAATAAAGTTTAAATAAAGTCGCCATGTGGAGATTAGTAATACAAATCACATTTCTTTAAATAAGTGGTATCCTGAAGAAGCTTACTTTAAGCAGGAATGTTTTTGAAGAGCAGTATTTATGTTTGTGGCGCTATGAATGCACCTAAAAGAGAAGTAATTAATCATCATAATTGTTATTGCTTTCACAATAATACTACAATATAATGTGATAAAATCCTAAATCCATATTGCCCAGTCCTAGTTCAAGATGATATTTGATGTTATGGATGGAGTCTTAGTGTAGTATGAAGGGTTTCTTGGTGAAAACAATCAATTTTCTGACAGTATTTTGTTGGTCAAATTTGACCTAAAATAGCTGAAATAATAGTTTTTTTTTTCAGAAGGGAAGGAAACACTCCTGCTTTGCTGTTACTATGAGATCACTCGTAGTACTGCTCCCTCCGCCTACATGTTTTGTTGCAGCAGAATGCAAAAGCTCGAGGGTCATTTCAGCGTGTGAGTTCTGGGATGTGCAGGCAATCAGTAACAAAAGGAGATTTAACCAGAGCAGATTGAGATGAAAATGACGAGTCACACCACAGATCTGAAACAAAAAGTGAGGGAATAAAACTGCATTAATGTTGTTGCAGTCTGCTGCGAGGTGCAGAGGAGATGGGCCTGAGGAAGGGGGTGAAGCCAGAGTTTGGTGGAGGAGCACGGAGCTTCTCCTGTGAAGAGGATTACATCTACGAGAACATTGAGAGTGAGCTGTGTTTCTTCACTTCACAGGTCAGTCTGCACCCCTCTCTCTTTCTTTCTCTTTCTGACTCTTTTTCGCACGCACGCACGCACGCACGCACGCACGCTCGCACGCACGTTTGTGTGGCTATCTTTGTGGGGACTTTCAGTTGACTTTCATTCATTTCTACAGTCTAAACCTTACCCTTAACCCTAACCATTACATACCTAACCCTAAACCTACCCAAAACTCAATTCACACCTTAGTCCTAAATCATGAGAAGTGGTGAAAACGACACGTCGATCTAACTTTTTCAGTCTCTTTCTTTGTGATGCATGTCACTGAAATACAGATGTTATGTCAAGTCTTAAAAGAACTGTATAAATTGCATAGAATCCTTGTTTAATAATGAACTGCAGCTTTTGTTTTTGCTCTGTATAAATAGCTTGATGGTTTTTCACTTTTTCACTTAGTTCTGATTATTTCCAATTTATTTGAAAATATTTGATTAGTCCTAAATCTAACCCCTGATCCAAAAACAGCATTTCCCCTTTGGTCCCCACAAGGAGCAATGGGTCCCCACATCGTAGTATATGTCAGGAAAATGGTCCCCTAAAGGTATTACAAACAAACGTACACACACACACACACACACACACACACACACACACACACACACACACACCAATGTTACCAACAGGGTACTATCAGCCTAACCTGCCAAGAGGGGACTTCTGTTTCTGGTTTTTTGAAAAAGCAAAAACCCAATATAAAATTAACTTTTAAGTTCTGTTACACACATGTGTGAAGGGACTTCATGCATTCATATGTATCTCTCTTGTTGCAGGAAAGACAAACCATCATCAAATACTGGATGGACAATCTACGTGCCAAGCAGGGCGAGGTCCTTCATAATATCATCTTCCTGGAGGGCCAGCCAATCAGTAAGCTGAAGCTGTTAGTGGGTTTAGGGTTATTTGGTTGTTTTTTTGTTTGGTTTGCGTTTGCTGCTGTCTTTAACGGTCTGTAATCGCCTCTCTGCAGTTCCAGAGCTGAGAGCCAGAGGAGTGATCCAGCAGATCTTTCCTCTCCATGAGCAGAGGATCCTTAACCAGCTGATGAAGTCCTGGGTCCAGGCGGTCTGCGAGAAGCAGCCGCTAGGTCAGCAGGTCCACCCATCCAACCATACATCCAACCATCCAACCAGGCATACAACCATAGATCCATCCATACATCTATACATCCAACCATAGAGCCATCCATCCATCCAACCAGCCATACAACCATCCATACAACCATAGATCCATCCATACATCTATACATCCAACCATTCAACCAACCACACATCCAACCATAGATCCATCCATCCATCCATCCATCCATCCATCCATCCATCCATCCATCCATCCATCCATCCATCCATCCATCCATCCATCCATCCATCCATCCATC